CATACATATACATACATAATTGATGTCTTACTTACTTACTTGCATACATAAATACATATATGCATGCATTCATACATACATACGTGCATGCAGTACGTGTGTGCCTGCGCGTGTCTGTGTGTCTGTGCCTGTGTCTGTGTCTGTCTGTGTCTGTGCCTGTGTCTGTGTATGTGTCTGTGTGCCTGTGTTTGTGTGTGTTGTGCGTTTGTTTGTTTGCTTGTGTTTGTTTGTGTGGTTGCTTGCTTGGTTTTGCGTTTGGTTGTTTGTGTGTGGTGTGCGTGGTGTCATTATGTGTGTATGTGTGTATGCGTGTATACGTGTGCATGTATGCGTGTATGTGTATATGTGCGAGAGAACGCGTTTCACTAGCGCTTGCCTTGGGAACATTCGGCGGCGCGTTTCGAACCGGGGGGGAAGGGGGGGGGCAACACTCGGCGCCGTCAATCAGAACCAGGGGACTCCCCCCCCCTACCTCCCCCTGTCCCCAACCTCCCGCCGGCCCCCCTCCCAAGAGGGACGGATTTCAACCATTTCGGCCCCAATCCCAACCAACTCGGACCAATTACAACAATTGCTTAAGGGAGGTTTCTTGGAGGCTCCTTGTGGGGGCTCTTTGGAGGCAACATAGAGGCTCCTGGGAGGCTCCGTTTGGAACTCGCTACGTGATGAAACACAAGAGCTGGACGAAAATCGATGAATTTAGCGCCTACAGGCCATGTTGGATGTCCTCTTGGGGCCTTTTTGCGCCACTTCACGCCCTCTCGAACCCTTTTGGGGCGTCTTGGAGGGCTTCGGCTGTCTTGCTAGGGGTCTCTTAGAGGCCTCTTGGAGGCCCTCTCGGAGCTCTCTTGGAGCCGTGTGGGACCTTCTGGGCCATCTTGGGGCCGTCTTGGAGCGCCCTTGGGCCGTCTTGGGACTCTCTCTTGGGGCCCTCTCTGGGAGCCGCCTGGACCGTCTTGGGCAGATTTATGGGGCCTTGCGGGCGTCTTGGCCCGTCGGAAGCATGAGAAAGCCAGAACACGATAAACCTTCAAACACCTCTGACAAAAAATATGTTTCGCATGCTCAGGGCCTCGTGGGACTCCTTCTGAGGGCCTCTTGGCCGTCTTGAGGTCCTCTTGGGCTGTCTTGAAGCCATGCTGGGCTATCTTGGAACACTATTGGGCCCTCTCGTCGCCCCTCTTCCCCTCCTTGGACGCGTTACTGCGCACCACGGCGGGCCAACAACGGCTGGGTACAAAATGAATGCTCGCCAGGGCCCTGGGACCCCCTCCTACACATATATATATATATATACATATATATAAATGTATATATATGTATACATACATACATACATACATACATACATACATACATACATACATACATACATGCATGCATGCATACATGCATGCATGCATGCATGCATGCATGCATGCATACATGCATGCATGCAGACAGACAGACAGACAGACAGACAGACAGACAGACAGACAGATATATATATATATACATATACATAAACATATACATATACATATACATATACATACATCCCTACATACATGCATGCATGCATGCTTGCATGCATACATACATACATGCATACAGACAGACAACCAGACAGACAGACAGACAGGCATGCATACTTACATACATACATACATGTGTGTACACACACACATATACATACATGCATGCACACATACATGCATGCATGCATGCATACATACATACATGCATGCATACCTATATGCATGCATGCATGCATACATGCATGCATACATCAATACATACCTATATACCTACCTACCTACCTACCTACCTACCTACCTACCTACATACATGCATACAGACATACATACATACATCCATACATACATACATGCATACACATACACATACACATACACATCCACATACACATACACATACACATACACATGCACATGCGCATGCACATACACACATGCACATACATAAGTACATACATGCATACATGCATGCATGCATGCTTGCACGCGTACTTATATGCATACATACATACATTCATACAGACAGATAGACATGCATGCATGCATGCATGGATACAGACATACATGCATGCATGCATGCATGCAGACAGACAGACAGACAGACACATACATACATAGATATAGATTTTAATCTTGATATCCACCACCTCGCCTTTGGGCACGGATCGGGCGTGTCCTCAGGTCCTCTGCCGAATCCCTGGAGCCTCAGTCCTCAGTCGTGAAGAATCTTTCAGGGGCCCGAACGCAGAAGGCCCCAAGACGACCTGAAAGCGCCCCAAGACAGCCCAAAAGGCGCCCAAGAGGGCCCCAAGGCGGTACCCAAAAAGGCCCAAGAGAGAACACGAACAGAAAATCCGAGCCTTCCGCCCCAAGAGGTCCCCAGGAGGCCCCACGAGGGCCCTGGAGGCCCTAAGAGGCCTCAAGAGGCCCCCCCGAAAGAGGCCCAAAAGAGGCACGTGACCACTCTCTCTCTCTCTCTCTCTCCGGCATTCTGTCCTCGTGGTGCCGTACAGAACGATGCATGGGGAACGACGGGACTCTCCAGGCCAACCTCGGCGAGCCTCGGCTTCGAGCAGTCTCCCCGACCTGGCTCGCAGGGGCACGGCCCGACAACCGGAGCCCCTCCTGGGGCCCAACGTGGCCAGCGGCTCCGCACGGCAGCCCTGCAGCATACTGCTCTCGCGAGCCTGACGCTGGCCAGCCCAGTTTGCTGGCCTCCGCACCCCGCCTCAGCACGGCGATGCCTGCCGGTCACGGCCATTTGACGGACACTCGGATGCTGCCCGCACAGCGGGTCCGCCCGCGGATCCTCTCTCCCGTACTGGTTCTACTTGCTCTACGCTTGCAGCGCCTGCAGCCGTTTCCTTAGCCCCCGGGTGTGGGCGCGATGCCGCTCCGCGTCCACTGCCAGGACGCCTCGGCAGCGGTCCGCCGCCCCAGCCACTCCTGCCGACGTTCATCGCGCTCGTAATGCCTCCCCTGTCCCCCCCCCCCGGCCGCCTTCTGCCTTCTTCTCCCTGTCGCGCCGCCGGACAATTAGTACTCCGTGCTCCGGACTACTCGGGCGCGCGTGCGGACTGCCTCTGCCGCGCTGCGACGAAAACAGCATGCTGGGGAGAGTGTCGTCCCGCCTGGCCTCCTCTCCAGGGTGGTGAGGATCGGGGCCAGCCCGTGACTACCTACCAGACCACCCCAACCCAACCCGAAGATCCGAATTTGACCCGAATTGCGGATTGGGGGGGGTAAGGGTTCCATGTGTTTTATCGATGTTCCCCGACCCCCCCCCACTAGAAATCGAGGGCAAATTTGGGCCCTCGGGTTGGGTTGGGGTGGTTTGGTAGCTGGTGAGTCTCTCGCTCCAGGGTGGTGAGGATCGGGGCCAGCCCGGGAGCCCCCGAAGTCGGGCCCTCGGGCCGTGCAGCGTCCGTCCAGCCGTCCTCCCCCTCCGCGCCCCGTCCCTCCCCTGCCCCCGTGCCCCCCTGCCCTGCCTTCCTCCAGTACCCATCCGTCCTTAGGGGAACAAAAAGTGGCATAAACACAAAAACTCAGAGGTCCGCGCGGACCTCCGAGTTTGTATGTTTATGCCACTTGTTGTTCCCCTAATCCTCCCTCCTCCATCCCTCCTCCCCCCCAACTCCTGGCCTCCTCCCCATTCCTCCCTCCATCTGCCCCTGCTGGCGGCGCGCGCACACGGGGGCGGCGCAAGGGGGGGTGGTTCTCTCGGAGGGCGGAAGGGGCTTCTCAAAGGCAGGGGCCCTCCCAGAAGTGGGGGGCGTGGGCTTCCACGGAGGCTCCTTGAAATAGCTGAAAGGCCTGCATGAAGGCCTCCAGGCCTCTCAGGAGGCCACCCCCCTCGCGCCACCCCATCGCGCGCGCCGCCCAACCCTGGAAGACAAGGGGGAACGTTAGGCCGTTAGGGCGTGACCAGCCCAAGGGGGAACTGTCGACTCGGACTCGGCGATGCATCGCCGACAAATCGACTGCAGGCCCCTGATAGCGAATCCGCACCGTCCTGGGCGGGGCGGGCTTTCGGGCCCCTACCGGCGATGAAGGGACGTTTGTTGGCGGCGCGCACAATTGGGTAAGGGGAGAGGGGAAGGCTTCTTAGAAGGAGGCTGCTTCTTAGAAAGCGCCGGCCTTGCATCTGTAGATATGGCCCGCGCCTTCTAAGAAGCAGTCTCATTCAAAGGAGCCTTCCCCCCCTCCCCCTGATTACCCTCCTCTGCGCGTGGCCGAGTTTGTGGGTCGATGCATCCCCCCATGAGCATACCCCCCCTCTAACGCTACCCCTGCCTCCCTCCCCCTGCTGGCGGCGCGGACAAAAGGGGGCGGCGCGAGGAGGGGGGTGGCCTCCCGAGAGGGTGGCGGGCCTCTCAGCAGGCAGGGGCCTCCTCGGAAACAGGGCCTGGAAGCCTTCCGCAGAAGGCCCCATCGGGGGCTGGAGGCGCCGCCAGGCAGCGCTCAAGGCACCCTCCAGGCCGCGCAGGAGGCCACCCCCCTCGCGGCACCACCACTGTGCGCGCCGCAGAAGCAGACCCCCGACGTCACGACCTGCTTCAAGACGTGGACCCCCAAAAGTCTGGACCCCTGCCAGAGAACCCGCTCTTCATCCTGACTCGGTTCCTGATGATGGGCGTGTTTTCCACCACCATCACCATAAGTTGGAGGGGTGGTCCTCCTCCTCCTCCTCCTCCTCCTCCTCCTCCTCCTCCTCCTCCTCCTCCTCCTCCTCCTCCTCCTCCTCCTTTTCCTCCTCCTCCTCCTCCTCCTCCTCCACCTCCTCCCCCTCCTCCTCTTCGTCCTCCTCCTCGCCCTCCTCCTCTTTCCCCCCCCCACTTTCTGGTGGTGGGAATGGAAAACTGGCTCATCATCTGACGGTCCCGAGGTTCAGCGAGGGCCCCCTGAGGCCAAAACTAACGACAAACCTTCCGGCACGATTTTGCCACGACGCGCAAAGGGGTCTTGGAACTCTGCGAGGGGGGCCCACCGAAGAGCATGACGTCGGCGAAACCAGCGAACACCTGCGAGCCGATGCTCTGCACCGGCGGGGCCGCAGCGGACTCCTCTGAGCGAAAGGGGGGGGCGCCGACGGCGCGCGCACTGCGGGCAGTGAACAGACGGGGGCGGCAGGAGCGACGGAGGGAGGCGGGGGAAGGGACAGGAGGGAGGTTGAGGGGGGAAGGGAAGGAGGAGGAGGAGGAGGAGGAGCAAAAGGAGGAGAAGGAGGAGGAAAAGGAGGGGGAGGAGGAGGAGGAGGAGGAGGAAAAGGAGGGGGAGGAGGAGGAGGAGGAGGAGGAGGAGGAGGAGGAGGAGGAGAGGGAGGAAGAGGAGGAACAGGAAGAAGAGGAGGAGGGAAGAAGAAGGAGGGAAAAGGAGAGGGAAGCTTGCGTGAAACCCATGACTCTTAGAAATATCCAAGCATCTTCTGGGTGGCCGAGGGCCACCTTACCAGAAAGCTAACAGTGGTGCCTGGAATGTTTCCAGCGTTATGGCTCACGGTTCACGGCAGGGGGGTCCATGAATTAGGTCGACGACGAACGGGATCTTCAAATAGTAGGTCGAGCGTAAAACGCTGCCACCGAAGCCAAACGGAATCATCGTTGGCATGGTCTGGGTGTCAATGTTCACTCGCCGTAGCTGGCGACACTGACTGACAGCAGTGGCCCCTGAAATCCACGAGCGTGTCCCAAATTTGCCCAAACCTCCCGGATGGAAAGGCTTGATCTAGATTCACCATCACTCCAATCAGTCCATGTTCTCGATGTCCCCCTCGGTATGCTCCACCTTCCTCTTGGCTTTGGTCGTGATCAGCATCGGGTGCTTTTGTGTCACCTAGCCAGTCTCCAGGAACTTCTGAAACAGTTCGTCGGTGTTGCAGTGTCTGGTGAGGCAATTAGAACGCATGTCTTTGGTGTCACACCATAGGCTGCGGCGTACATTGTCAATCAACCTCTTCACACCCAACGAGAGGGTAATGAGTCTTTGCGATGTGTATATATGTATATGTGTGTAGAGGTTATCCCTTGATTCTACTACACAGCTCGCACAGGTCGCGGCAGTCGGTCGCCGCGCCGATGGGCACCTCGTAGCGAGCGACCGAGTCTGCTTGGATAGGATCGTCCAAGGTCGGCATCTTCGGGCAGCTCTGCTCTGTCATGCCAATGGCGATCAGCTCGCAGTGCGTAAGACAAAAAGCCGCGAAACTACTCCGAGCATACAGAACTGGCTCGCGCTGCCGATGGCTGCTCCCAGATCCAGTAGGCGGTGCTGACCCTGACGAGGAAGAGGGCCCTGATCCCCATGAGCTCGATGTCGAGCGAGAGTTCAACATCTTGACTGGGGCGGGCACCTCGCGAGAAGTCGCGAGAAGTGTCGCGCTCGGTGCTGGGGACGCCCAGTGGTGAAGCGGCGGGTGCATGCGGATATCGCGTCTTGTCCAGTTGATGCGATCGTGAACGGTCGGCGCTTCCGCGACATCCAGGAGCGGTTTGCTCTTCCGGCAGTGGTAGTAGACATAGCTGTTCAGGCTGAAATGCTGAATAATCCAATGTTGGATGCTCTTGTTGTCTATCGGGATATGAAATAGTTGCTCGAGACCCAGCTGACTCATGACGGTTTTACTGATTGATCTATCGGGCGCTGATTGTCGTCGAACTGGTTCGCGACTTCGGCGACTAGAACTGCTCGGTGCACATGGACCTCGACTGCTTCCTGAACGTTGGCTGCCCCGACGGACATCGAGGTCAGGCTTGGATCTCGATATTGACGAGCCTGGGCCCTGGTCACTCACGCAGGAGATGTCATAGTCGCCATGGGGTTCTCGGCGTCCAGGTCAATGCTGCTCGATGTTAGAGATGCCCCCCCTTATCGCACCATGGTCTCGGCGCTGCCCTACTCGCGGTCATCATTGGCGATCACCGCCAGGTGGCTGGGGCGGCTGATCGGCGTCAATCGACGATTGCAGCGTCGCACGACCTGCCGAGCCTCGATCGCGATAGCGTGCGCTGTTCTTGTTGTCGAGAGAGCCTGCTGGATGATGGCCATCAGGCGGGCGCGGCGGCGGCGGCGCTGGCGGCCGCTCAACTTGTGCACCGAGTTCGTCAGCTCTAACCAGCGCGCAGAACGGATTCACCCAACAACTCGTTCCGTCGCAGGGTCGCGCGGACTGCTGCCAACAAACCCTTCCCGATTGCACGGCGAATGCTTCCCCTGGACGGCCTCGGCCCAAATCCACCGCGCGTCGACCACGGCGCGTCGCTGACGACCCAAGAGACGAAGCCCCACGCTGCTTCCTGGCACTGCGCCGCGCCCCCCCCCCCCCTACCGGGACTCGCCCTCCGCTTCCGCCGCCCCCTGCGCCCCCCTCACCTGGCCCCCCGCTTCGCCCCCCCACCGCCCGGGCAAGGGGCAGCGGGGCCGAATCGGCAAGCCCAAGGAAGCACGACAGCGAGGGCCTGGCCCACAGGGTCGAGAAACCCACCCCCCGCTGCCCGCCCCCGCCCCGCCGACGTCTCGCCGCGTTCTTTTCGCCCCCCAAAGGCCCCACCACATGAACGAGTTCATATGCGTTTGCTTTGATCAAATTAGGAACGATCACGCTCGCACATTTTTCGCTCAGCTTTTGCGTTGAAGCTTCCCACGCGACTCTACATGAGTCAATGATACTTATCCGGTTGCGCGCAAACGAAAATGGCTGCGGCATCAAACTGAACATCCATTCTCACTTGCAAACAATATGAAATAGCTTGTCACGCGCGTGCAAATGAATTTGCGATGATGAACGCAACTAGAGGACACTCGTCTCGGAATAAGCATGCGCGTAGAAATGTCACCCAATGTTTCCTGCGACTCTATGATATTCAAGGATCATCTTCAAGTCTACGCATAATCAATGAATTATTAAAAATAAGGCCAACACTTGCGCTACTCTGCCATTCGAAGCACATGCGATTCTGCTGACATGCATTTGGAATCCCCCCCAAAAAAAATGTTTGACTTCCAATTTCTCGCACGAGCGTAAAAGATTCCAGAGATACTCGAATGCTGTTAACACGTAATATAGTGGCGTTCGAAAGAATGCACGCGTCGCAAATCTCGCCACCTGACTTTGCACGCGGATAGAGAATTGCTTCAAAACCCGATACTGGTATACACGTATTCCACATGAACATATACGATTCAATGGCATTGTCTAAAAAACATCGCACTGAAAACGCAATCACGTTCCGTAAAAACAAAAATACGCGCAAAAGGTGTCATTTGAATGCATATGATCAGGAGGTTAAAGTAAACAGCAAAAACGATCGCGCGTTCACGCCAACAAATGGCAACGTTATCTCCCACCGAAATTAATGGCATGATCAACCCACAAACACACACACACACACACAAACTACAAATAATTCATGGAATCTGATGCGAGCTGCACGAAATACCAAACAAAGGAAATATTTCTTCACTGAGAAAAATTGCTGTGTGATTTCGCCCATTCAACCCTTTCCCTCCGGCCCGCCAAACGACACTGGCGCGACCGCTGGAGCTTCAGGTAGATCTCGAAGTAAGTCGTCGACCACGGCCTCGAAGGCTTTCTCGGCGCTCAGCTGCTGGTTGGGCAGCTCCAACAACAGGTCCGCGGCTGGCATCTCCCAGGAGGCAGACGCTGCCGATGATCTTGATACCGGCGCCAAGGGGGGCGCCAGCTGTGACTTCCAGGATGAGGTCGGCAACTGATCAAGAGCTGCAAGCGCAAAGTTGGCTCCAAAGACTAGCGCGCCGCTGAGACCGGGAGCTGCGGCAGCGCCGGCTGCTGGGCCATGGCTCCAAGGGTCGGCATTCGAGTGCCAGGGGTCCTCGTGGTTCACGTAGTCAATTGTGCCTTCGCCTCGGCTCTCGACGTTGCTCTTGCTCTCGAAGCGGCCCTTGCTTTTCTTGCTTGTTGATTTCCCTTGGTTCCATGGGCAGTCGCCAGTCTTGCGGTTCGGGCTTCGGCATCCTCCGCATCCACGATGCTTCCGCCAATGCTCTTACATTTGCCTTTTGAACGCCCGCGACTCTTGCCCCTGCCCTTGCGATTGTTGCTGTAGCACTTGCCCTTGCCCTTGCCCCTCCTACCGAAATCGGTGTCCTCTGGCAAAATCTCCAGGTCGGTGGTTCCAGTAGGCGGGGACGATGCTGTTGCTGGCGATGGTTCCAGGGCTGGTTGACTTGACTCGTCCTCTTCTCCGCTCCTCTCGAGGTTGGACCAGGCATCGCCATACCAAGAACTGCAATCAGACCACGTGACATATCCGTGCCAGATGTCATCTCCAGCCATCGTCGCACCAAGAGTTGTCAGACCAAGAACTGCCGCCATACCAATCGTCGTCATATTTCCTATATTCGGTGCCACCCGCGTGATACATTCCAACATCAGGTAGCTGTGCAGGGGTCTGGCTCTTCGCGAGTCGCAGCAGGTGATTATTGATGTCCTCGTGGCGCGAGAGATCAATGTTGACCAATGGCAACGCATGATCGACCTTGGACTTCTCAATTTCGTTGCGTGTCAATAGCTGATGACTGAGGATTACATCATTCAAGTTGCGATATCCGAGCCTGCTTGCCTCTTCATACACGTGTCCGCATTCAGCCAGGTACTCCAGGAGAAGAAAAGAGAAAGAGAGAGAGAGAGAGACCTCGTCGGATGCCACAAAACATGTCGATGGTGCTCTTGGCTGCCTGCTGGTTGTCTGCGCCATATCGTGAAAAAGAATGCGAATCAAGCACTGGATTCCGCTCTCGGTGGCGTTGAAGATAGAGCGTTGCCATGGCCATCCATCTGTACTGTTTCGCCAGGGTATGCGAGAGCGGCGCCCCCTTACAGCTCGGCTCCCTGTTGGATTCGCATCGTCAGTGACAAGGCCATGTTGCAAGGTCTTCCTTGTAGTCTGCCCGCGACTGCGGGGCCAATCTGTTCGGTGGCCATTCGGTCATACGATACCAAACTTGGAACCTCCCCAAGAACCATCGGAACGGGTAGTGCAGCAATGCTGGTCGCTATCCTGGGGGCGTTCTTTATGTGTACGCGTCGAACAGGAGACCAATGTGCTCGGACATGGTGTCTTCAGGTTTCAGGTCGATAAACTCGTGGATGTTGTTCTCGTCGGTGAACGTGTTCACCAAATGTTGCACATCCTTGTCGCTGTCTGGGGTGTTCATAAAAATTACATATGTGTAGATGTCGCCAATGACCTAGGTGTCTGCGGCGAACGCGATCGCTATGGCGGCGAGCGCGGCGTCTCGCTGGAAATGCGGATAGCAACCGCGCCTGGTAGCAATATACCAGGCTGCGCTACCAAACTCGACTTTTCAAGCTTGAGCCCCGACAGCGGCGGGTACATATCCACTATCCCCTGCTAATCTTGTGAAACCCAATACGCTCAGAAACCCCTAAAGATCTGCGGGCTGGCAGAGGGCCACATTGCTGGAAAACTAACAAGGGGAAAAGGAGGAGGAGGAGGAGGAGGAGGAGGAGGAGGAGGGGCAGGGCACGGGGGAGGGGAAGGGGAGGGAGGAGAGGGGAGGAGGAGGCAGAGCGTCGGGATATGAGGGGGGTGAGGGGGAGGAGGGGAAGCGGGGGGAGGTGCGTGCGGGCTGGCTTCGCCCTCCTCTTTCGGGCATCTCGTTGCCTCTCCCCCCCTCCCTCGTCCCTCGCCGGCCCCGCCCGCCGGCTCGGAGATCGGCCCATTTCCGGAATTGCCACACCTGGCACGCCAGACGGCGCCGCCAGGTGGCGCAACGGCAACGTTCAGGAGAACTTTCATGCCACGAGGTGCCAGGTGCCATGGGGGAGGAGGGAGGAGGGGGATTCTAGGGTGCCAGGATGGCCTCGCGCGCGCGCACACGCAGGAGCACGAGTTCCAGGCGGAGGGGGGAGGGGGAGGGGCAGGGGGCGGAAGGAGGAGGGACAGAGGAGGACGGGCAGGTGGGTGAGAACGAGGGTGGGGGAGGATGAGGGGGAGGGCGAGTGTTAGCGCCAACGTGCGCTTGTCCACCGAGGCCATACAATGCAGCGCAGGCGGCGCAACGAGGGCGGGCACAGGCTGCACGATATCGGCGGAGCCGAACTGGGCAAAAACACACGCTTGGGCTACCACATGTCCTGAGGATCATCGGGAGGATGAGGACGGATCTAGCCTTTGAGGAACGTTAAGGGGGGACCAGCTGAAAGGGGGGAAGCATCGACTCGGAATCTGCGATACGTCGCCGATAGATCGGCGGTGGGCCCCCAGTAGCCAATCCACACTGTCCTGGGCGGGATGGGCAACTGGGCCCCTATCGGCGATCAATGGTCGATCAGAGTTCGATGCATCTCCCCCTGAGCCTATCCCCCCCGAACGTTGCCCCTGAGCCTCACGACGAGTCAGCAGCCAGCGAGCCAACTCCAGCTCCAACGGGGACGCCCTGCCCACCTCGAGGGCCGACCCTGAGCGACAACGCAGCGCGCGACGAAGAGCAGGCCAACAAGGAGAGGGCCCCTCCAAGAGGGAGGACGGATGTTGAAAAAGCCATATCGTCGGATGTCTGCAGGAGAGCGGGGGGGGATGGAAGGGAGACGGGGGGGAGGGAGGGAGGGATGTGGAGAGGCAGATTGGGGGGATTAGCTACGAGGAGGCTCTTGAGCCTCTCCGTTGCTTCTTAAGCCCTCTGGTGGGTTCTCGGGGAGGGGAGTTACCAAAGAAGAAAGGACCACGCAGGGGCAGGCCTCCCTGCCAGGGGGGAGGGGGGCGGCCCCGCGGAGCCCACGGCGCCCCACGCCCTCTCGGCGGCAGGGAACCTCCCGAGCACCGAGGCACCTGCCCTCGGCCCTCCTCCCCCGCCGACTGCGCGCGGCTGCTCCAAGAGGAGCGGACGCAGAAGGAAGCACCAGGCCTTTAGAACCCCCCCCCCCTCCCCCAGCCGTGGAAACGCAGGATCCTTTCGACGCCCTTCTGGACGGACTGGGGTCCCACCAATCATGGAAAGTAACTGTTTCTCCGCGGCACCCGCCGCACAACCCACGGGGAGGAAGAGGAGTAGAAAGTTGAGGAGGAGGAGGAGGAGGAGGAGGAGCAGGATGAGTAGGGCCGGAGTTTATTCACCGCCGTGAGAAAAAGAGAGGTTCCTGAAAACTAAAGACCTACCTCGATTACTATGCATCCTCCTTGGAAGCGTGCGTCCGACCCAAACATGCAGTACAAACATCTTGCAGTATATCCTTTCCCGAACGGTATTGCCAGAAAGCGCCCACCATGGCGCTTATACTGTGAGATGGTCTTGCCGCGCGCATCGCCCCTGGGGGGGGAAGGAGCGACGCACACATGGCATTGGTATGCTGGGGTGCCGCCGAGACGAGAGCTGGCTCGATCCCCTGGCTGACGCCTGATGCCGTGGCCATTCCCCGCTCGCGCTTCGCGCTGGCGCGGGCGAGCCCTTATCGAACCGCCTGCACCCCGGGCCCGAGCTGCGGCCAGGCGACGCCGGGACACCTGCGACGCAGGCTGAGGCACAGGCCAGGCCAGCAAGGGGAGACCGGAAGGGACGGCCGCGCGCGGCCCGGAGGGGGGCCCTCAGAGCATGAAGTGCTTCGGGGTCTGCCGGAGCAGGCTCGGCGCAAGACGCGGGGAGACAAGGCGTCTTCTGATTGTACGCTTCCTCACCGGGGTTGCCCCGCGGCGTCGGGTTGTCCCATGGGTTGTCCAATGTGGGTTGTCCCGTGTGGGCTGTCCCGCGTGGGGTGATCGGTGGGCTGTCCAGCAGGCTGTCCAATGGGTCGCCCCGCGGGTTGCTCCGTTCTGGGAATGGCTGGGATTTGCTGATTCCCAGACGGCACCCGCGCAAATCGTGACGGTACTGGCCCCCTCCCCGCTCCCCCCAGCAACGGCCGATCTTTAGTGACAAAAAATGCACGAACATGAACTTACGGAGGTCCGTGCGGATTTCTGGGGTCGGCGCTGAACCACATTCCCCTGGCGCGCGAAGCACGCAAGAAGCGCCGCCAGGCCAAACCAGCTCCGACCAGAGAAATCCGCGCGGACATCCAAGAGTTCACGCGCCTGTGCCGCATAATTTTTCCAGGTGGCACCAGCGCGAGTCGTGAGTTACTGGCCCCCTCCGCTCTCGCCTACCCCTGGCAACGGCCGCATCATTTCGCTCTCTGTATGTATATGTGTACATGTGGAGAAATAGAGAGAGAGAGAGAGGGGAGAAAAAACAAAAAACAAAAAAAAGCCGCGTCAGCGACCCAGGACAATGATCACGAGGACCGCCCTGCTCTGAGGTCGGGCCCCCAAGCTAGAGGCCGGAAGCAGGGCAAGGCGCGGAAAAACACAAGCGAACCACGGCCGGCGGCATGCGGGTCGAGTCGGCGAAGAGGGAGAGGGCGGCGGGCGGACACACAAGGAGACTGTCACCGCCGCCGGAGGGCGAACCAAAGATGGGCGACGGGTGGGCGTGAGCACGCTGGCACCGGAAGGACCGCAGCCGCACCTCCAAGCTGTGGGCGGCGGCGCCAGTGGCGATGGGCACACACGGCCGAAACATGGCCACGCGAGCGCGGGTCGAGAGCCTGCGCCCCTCCGCCGCCGAGGGCCCAGCGCCCCGTGGCGCCAGCCGCGAGGGGCAGCCGTCCAGGGCGGAGAGCCCGAGCAGAGAGCGCACGACGGTGCCCTTCCGAAGCTGGGGCTGCTCTTGACCCTCCCTCGTGCAAGCAATGCGACACGTGGGGTCGCGCCCGGTGGGCGCCCTGGGCTGGGAGCGCCGTGGGAGCGAGCTCCAGGCCCAGAGGGCCATGAAACTGCACAAGCACACACCTGGAGACTGGCGCAGCCTTCCTGGGTCGCCAGACCAGGCCTAGAGGACCAAAAACCTGCACAGGCGCAGACTTCCCGAGGCTGGCGCGGCCTTCCTGGGTCGCTGCTGGACCCGCCTCCCCGCACCCCCCCCTTCGGGCATTGGGAGCGAGCCAGGCGTGACGCCAGAGGCGCCGCCCAGGGGCGCGGGGAGGGGAGGGCCCCCTGGGCCGACCCGAGAATGAAAGGCAACGATAGGGGGGGGGACTGGCACAGGGGGGGGGAAACATCAACCTGGGATCGGCGATACATCGCCGACAAATCGGCGGTAGGCCCCCGATAGCGAACCTGCACGTTCCATGGGGCTATCAGACCCCTATCGGCGATCAATGGGCGATTGGGGGTCGATGCATCCCACCCTATGCCTGTCCCCCCCGACCGTTGCCCCTGAGAAGCCCGCCCAGACCTCCTGACGAAATCGCGTCTGTGTCAGCGCTGGCTCCTTGAAGAACTCCGCGCGTCGCGTGGGAAGCCTGCGCACCGGTCCTGGCCGGGCCAGGACCTGTGCCCAGGGACTGGTGGGTGCGCCCTCCCGGCCAAGCTAGGGAGGCGCTTCCTCCCGTCCTGTGGCCAAGATCGGGGTGAGACGGGGCCAAGACGAGGACAAGTCCGGACGAGGACAAATCGAGAATCTCTGAAGTCCACTGGCTCTGGAGCATGAATCGGGCGCCGCGGCCTTCTCAGAGCGTTCCAGAACGCTCTGAGAGCGTTCCGAAACGCTCTGGAACAGTTCTCCTCCTCCTAGCCCCGCCCGACGGTATGTCGATGTGTGCGTGGACAGTCCGTGAGCCTCTGCTGCGACGCAGTGCAGCCAACGCAAGCCCTTCAGCCAGTTGAGTTCACCGCTTCGGCTCTCGAGTGCTGGCCCACGTCGGGTCGGGGGTTGCCAGAGCTGGCCCTGGTCTGAGACGCCACGGGGGCTGTCCGAGGAGGCCCCAAGCACCCATATCGAGGCCGAGGAGGTCCCAGGGCTCCAGGATGGGGCGAAAACTCGAGAGGCGCTTTCGGCCACCTCTGGCAACACCGGTCGCGGGGCTGCCAGTCGACTGGCCGATTGAATGTCCGAGCGGCCCGCTGACGCAAAGGGTACTATGAGGGCCGAGGTCAGGGGGACCGGCCGTGGCGATACATCGCCGACAGATCGGCAATGGGCCCCCGGCAGTGAAGCCGCACGCTCCTGGGCGGGGTACACAGCATGGGGTGCTGAAACAATCGAGGACATTGAACCCAGTGGCGCGAAAACACCTCATCATCAGGGAGCGCAAGCATTGAGGCAGAAGTCTCCACTACTTGTCATTGTTTCTTCTCCGGGGTTCGAAGCATCCCCCCTGATCCCATCACGCTTGACGTTTCCCCTGAAGATGATTGGCGTCCCCCGAGCCTCGCTCAGCCACCCGATGCCCACCTGACGGCAGGGGAGTGCGGGCTGGCCTGGCTTGAAAGCCAGCGTCCGCCTCTCCTCCTCCTCCTCCTCCTCCTCCTCCTCCTCCTCCTCCTTCCTCCTCCTCCTCCTCCCTCCTCCTCCTCCTCCTCCCTCCCTCCTCCTCCTCCTCCTCCTCCTCCTCCTCCTCCTCCTCCTCCTCCTCCTCCTCCTCCTCCTCCTCCCCTTCCTCCTCCCGCCTCCCTCCCACCCTCCCTCCCCCTCCCTTCCCCTCCCCTCCCCTCCCCTCCCCTCCTCTTTCCCCTCCCCCCATCCCCCCCTCGCTCCCTCCCCCCCTCCCCTCGCCCCCCGCCCCCCCCCTCCCCCCTGCCCGCCACCCCTCCCGCCTTCACCGGGCCCCCTCCCCCCCCTCATCGGGCCCCCTTCACCGCAATCCCATTCCTTCCCGCCCGCCCTCCCCTCCCTCCCCCCTCCTTCCCGCCCGCCCCCCCCTCCCTCCCTCCCCACCTCCCCCCTCCCCTTCCCTCCCACCCCCCACCCCCCCACCCCCCCTCCCTCCCCCCCGGCGGCGGGAGGGCGGGAGGGCGGGAGGGCGGGACGGCGAAACGGCGGGAGGAAGGGCGGGCTGGAGGGCGGGCTGGAGGGCGGGCTGAGGGCGGGAGGGCGGGGCGGCGAAACGGCGGGAGGAAGGGAGGAAGGGAGGGAGGGGGGGGGAGGGAGGGAGGGGGGCGACGGAGGGATTGAGGGAAGGAGGGCGGGCGGGTGGGCGGGGAGGGAGGGGGCGGGGAGGGATGGAGGGAGAGAGGGAGGGAGGAGGGAGGGAGGGGGGTAGAGAGGGAAGGGGGGAGGGAGGGCGGGAGGGCGGGAGGGCTGGAGGGCGGGAGTGCTGGAGTGTGCGGGAGGGCGGGAGGGGCGGGACGGCGGGAGGAAGGAGGGAGGGAGGAGGGGAGGGAGGAAGGGAGTGAGGGAGGGAGGGCGGGTGGGAGGGAGGGACCCTCCCGCCCTCCAGCCCGCCTCCCCTCCCGCCCGCCGCCCTCCCTCCATTCCTTCTCCTTATAAATAATACCTTTTCCCTGTAGCACCCCGAAGCCACTTTTTAGGGCGGGCCCAGCGTTTCGCCCGAGACTTCCTCACCATTGATGATTCTAGAGCTTACGTAAAATGAACAAGAATTTCACAGATTGAGGGCGGGGCATTTTTATGTAGCTTTGACTTTAACGCCACGCACATTCGTTTTCAAACTTACAAGAGCTTCACGCGTTGAAAGCGGTTCCTTTTCAAAACGTGGCTCTCGCCTTTGCGCCGCGCGCATTCGTTTTCAGACTTTGCAAGAGCTTCACGGATTGAGGACGGCTCCTTTTCAAAATGTGGCTCTCGCCTGAGCGCTGCACACATTCGTTTTAACAGTTTGCAAAAAAATCACGGATTCAGGGCGCTTCCGATTCCAAATATGGTTCTCGCCTTAGCGCCGCGCAGATTCGTTATCGTTTTGAGACTTTGCAAGAACTTCACGGATTGAGGGTGGCTCCTTTTCAAAATGTGGCTCTCGCCTTAGCACCGCACACACTCGTTCTAAAACGTTGCAAGAATTCCATGGATTCGCATGATCAGCACACCAGAAATAAAGTTTTGGAAAAACTCTGGCTTATGCGGGCGCAACAGTTATGTTGATCCACGGCGTTGACATTCCAAAAAGGGCGTTATGGCACGATTCTGGAGCGACAAAACGCAGCAGTCAGGTTGATCCGTGGCGTTAGAATCCCGACAACATGTTTGGGGTATGCGTCAAGAGATTCAAACTGTTGCCTTCCAACGAGGCAATATCTTCCTCCTCCAGCCGTTCTGGCTCATATTGATTATGAGCTTGGTCGTGCGAATTTCAGAAAAACACTGCACGACCTTGCCTTCTGGCTTCGTCGTTCAGCCTACCGTGAGCAGGTGGCGCCTGCGTCCCCTTTTCAGCCTACAGTACGCAGGTGGCGCCTGCACAAGCTGCCAGCGTTCCTCACTCGAGATGCCACCAGCCACGGCGACATGGGCCCTGCGCAGTTGGGAGCGAGAGGACTCGCGGGAACAGTACCAAAGCTGGAGCAAGAACAAGGGAGGCAATCGAGACAGCAGAAGCTACGGTAAAGGAGCTGACGCCGCCAAAGGTGCAGGAAAAGGAGATCTCTGAAAGTGCGGACACTGCCAATGCGGCAAGAACCTCCCGTCGTTCTGGTTCTGCAAGCACTGCAAGGCACCGAGGCCTGATGATGTCGTGGACCCCAAGGAGCGCCTTGGGGAATGGGCTAACGGGCCGCCAGCCTTGCAGCCTGGGCCCCAACCTATCCAGTCAGGAGACGCCCTGTCGGAGGATGAGTTGGAGCGCACGGTGCCCATGGCAAAGCGCTCTGGCGACGCGGCAGCAGATCCACGATATCAGATTGCGCCGGAGAGGATCCGAGCGTCCAACAAGGCGCCCAAGGAGAAGCCGATCCAGCAGCGTGCTACAGCAGCACATCAGCGGGTTCAGTTTTTTGGAGAAGAAGCTCAATGCGGCCCACGAGCATCGGAGACACGGCGCGCGTGGCGCGCAGAGAAGGCGGCCTCAGTCAGTCAATGTTCAGAGGAGCTCGAGGAGGCTGGCAAGCAGCACAAGCTTCTAGTCGACCAGTTGCACACCCAGGTGTGCTCGAAGCAGCAGCCGGATAGTCAGCCTCCCCCTGTTAACGGCAGTGGTATTCGCCTACGCGATATCATCGACAGTAAGCTGGACACCATCGAGTTCACAGACGCCGGGGAGATCTTCAACCTGCCCGAGGACGAGCATGAGCTCACCGAGGGAGACAAGAAGCTCCTGGAGCTACGCACGGACGAGCTCAAGTCCAACATCGCCACGGCCACCAAAGAGGCCTTCGGGGGCAGCATTGCCAAGCACGACGAGATCAAGAAGCAGCATGCATCACACATGGAGCGCTTGTCGAAAAAGCGGAAGGTACAGCCTGGAGGAGATGCAGCCATCACTGCAGAGGGGGGAGGTGCAGGGCCAGATGCCAATGACGGAGTCGGAGCTGCCCCGGAAGGACAGCCACCAGAGCCGCAGGCCCCGCCACCTGCTCGAGCTGATGACGTCCGAGAGCGCGCTCGCCGCGCAGCGTCACCAGCCCCCCCCCCCCCCCCCGCGCCAACCACCACAGAGGCTGCGCGAGAGTGCGGGGGGGGGGCATTGTCATCTACCCGCGCCAGCTGCTGGGCCACTTCAGCAGCAGCGTATACCGCATCATTCGCCACCACCTCTGAAGGCTCCCAGAGAGGGCCAGCTTTTCGCATTCAACGTTAGTAAGCCTGCTTCGGCGCAGGCGCCTAGACCAGCAGTTTTGCCACGGCTGCGCCGCCATCCGCCCCCCCCCCCACTTTTCAGATGCTGACCCCCTTGGTGGCTCCCTGAGGTCCCTGAATTTTCCTGGGCTCGAGGCGTTTGAGTTGGTCGTGGAGACAGCCAATGTCTTTTGGGGATCAGCCAAGTCTTGGCTGTTAGGACGGCTGCGCACACCGCGCGCCTCCAGGAACATAAGTTGGCCCCAAACGATCAGGTTTCTCCAGCTTCGAGCCGGACTGCCCGAGATGGGTGGCAAACTAAGTTTATTATAAAGCTGTGGCTTGATCGGGGTCAAGAGCGTCGGGAAGGGCGGGGATCTTCGCTCGTACGCTCCTGGGCATGCATGACTTGGTCCAGGGGCCGCTGGCTTACCATGGCAAGGTTATAGCATGCTGGGCTCAGATTCCAGGAGGGGAGTCGATCATGTGCACGTCTGTCTACCCGAAGGATTCGGAAGACCACTCGACGGAGACTTTCAAAGCGATTGCAAACATTGGAGCGCTGGCACAGAGCATCAAGGCGCCACACAACATAGGAGGAGATTTCAACATGGAGCCGCGTGAGCTCCATGATAGCGGTCTTGCAAAACGTCTGGGCAGAGGGGTCATCTTTCCGTCCGTCGAGGGCACGTGCTCCACGGCGGTCTCTGGCAAGGTCAGGATGCTGGACTACATGGTGGTCTCAGGGGGCCTTGCAAAATGTGTTCGTTCGGCTCGGCTCGTCCTTGAGAGCGATACCAGGGCTCGCAAGCCTGTTCAAGCTTGTTTCCATCCCAGGCTAGCGGACATACAGTATCTGACCTCCTCGAAGCCCCCACCCATACCAGTGGAGCTCCTCATTGGACCCGTGCCTGGGGCTCCCCCCTGGGACACCGTCCTGGATTGCGCTCAGCATGGGCTCGAAATGGTTCGCAACGAGGTTCCCAGGGCCAAGGTGCAGCGACACCTGAATATCGTGTACAAGCAGTGGACCATCTTGGCCGAGTTCGAGGTCTGTCAGTCTCGTCAATTCGAGGTCCCTGTCACAGGACGCAGGGGTCGGCTGCCTAAGTTGGTCTGGGAATCTGCCATAGGACTAGACAGGAGGAAGGAGGTCAAGGAGCCGATCCTGCACTCGCCGCGCTGGCTCGAGAGCACATCCCGCCTTGTTTGTCAGCTTGTTGCTAGAGCGACAACAACATGCACGCCAGGAGGGCCCTCCTCAGCGCGTTGAAGGAGCTGCTACTGCACGGCGACCGCAATCCGTTCATTTTGAAGAGCCAAGCTCCACCAGTGCCTATCCTGCGGGAGGGGGGCGGGCAGGGCGGTCGCGCCCCCCCCCGCTCTGCGGAGGGCGCAGCACTCACGCCAGCGCGCTATCTTGCGCTCCCGGGAGAAGCCAGCGAAACTCAAGCTCGGCTTGAACCACCAGGAGAGGGTCCTGGCCACGCATTTCTAGACGCGAAGGGCTCAACGGTTCTCCTACAGCCCCGAGGTGTCTGAAATGTTATTGGGGGCCCTCCCGCGGTGATCAGCAGGTACCCCCAAGGGGACTTCAAGAGGCTGCATGACGGAGTGAAGGAGTACATCAAGTTTTCGGAGGATTTCACTGTCTTCGGGGATCCAGAGGCCTTCGGCGATCTAGATGCAGGCTGCGAGTTGCTAGATAAGATCCCTGAGGAGCT